CCCGGCCCTGGCAAGTAAAATTTTTAAAAACTTTTATATTATTATTATTTTTTTATTTTATTTTTTTTTGGTCTTTTTGAGACAGGGTCTCCCTGTAGCCCCAACTGTCCTGGAACTCACTGTGTAGACCAGGCTGGCCTTGAACTCACAAAGATCCGCCTGCCTCTGCCTCCCAGGTGCTGGGATTAAAGGCATGTGCCACCACGCCCAACTCACAATAGTATTTTTAATATATTTATGCTAACTTTATTTTTTAATTAAAAAGTTTTTTGAGACAGAGTCTTATGTAGTCCAGACTGACCTTGAATTTGCTGTATAGCTGAGGATGGGCTCCACCTCTTAAGTGCTGGGTTTATAGGCACATGCCACCCTACCCACCCATTATACCAATTTTTATTTTTATTATTTTTTTAAATTTTATTATTTTTATTTTTATGTATATATGTGTATTGCCTGCATGTAGGTAAGCGCACCTGTGTTGTGCAGTGCCTGCGGAGGTCAGAAGAGGCTGTCGGATCCCCTGGGAGTGGAGTTATGGACAGTTGTTAGCTGCCATGTGGGTGCTGGGATTCAAACCCAGGTCTTCTGCAAGAACAACCAGTGTTCTTATCTGCTGAGCCATCTCTCCAGCCCCTATTTTTATTTTTTTATTTCATTTATTTTATTTACTTTTTGGTCTTTTTTTTTTTTGTTTTTTTTGTTTTTTTAAATGTCTGTGAGTGTATTGCCTGCATGTAAGTTAGTGCGCCCGTGTCATGCAATACTGTAGAGGCCAGAAGAGGGCTTTGGATTCCCCTGGAACTGGAGTTAAGGATGGTTTGTAGCCGCCATGTGGGTGCTGAGAATCAAACCCCGGTCCTCTCCAAGAGCAGTCAGTGCTCTTAACTGCTGAGCCATCTCCCCAGCCCCACTTTTTGGTCTTTTTGTGGGATGGTAGCCCCAGCTGGCTTGGGACTCACTATGTAGACCAGGCTGGCCTCACTCACAGAGATCCGCCTACCTGTGCCTCCCAAGTGCTGGGACTAAAGGCATACACCACCATGCCCGGCTTTTATTTTTATTTTTGTTCTTTGCCTTTTTGAGACAGGGTCTCCCTGTAGTGAGGCTGGCCTGGAACTCACAGAGCTCTGCCTGCCTGTGCCTTCCAAGGGCTGGGATTAAAGGCATACATCACCACGCCCAGCCTATACTAATTTTTTAAAGGTTTATTTTACTTTAACTATGCCTATGTGTGTGTGGAGGGGGATGTAATATGCATGTGAGTGCTTGAGAAGGCCAGAGGTGTCAGATTCCCTGAAACTGCAGTCCCAGGTAGTTGTGAGTCAGATTGTGAGCTGCCTAACATAGGTGCTGGAAATTGAACTCGCATCCTCCTTCCACCAGAGCAGTATGCACTCTTAATCCCTGAGCCATCTCTCTACCCCCTTTCCCCAATTATACTGATTTTTTAAAAGTGTACCTATGACTATGCATGTACAAGAGATATCCAGAAGGATATACGGGAGTTGGGGGGGTGGAGAGATGGCTCAGTGGTTAAAGGTGTTTACTGCTCTTCTAGAGGACGTGAGTTTGATTCCCAGTACCCATGTTGGGTGACTAACAATTGCCTGTAGCTCCAGGGGAGCTAATGCCCCCCTTACCACCTTGGTACTGTACTCATGTGGCACACACATACACATAAATAAAAAATAAAAATAAGAGGCAGAGGCAGGAGGATCTCTGTGAGATCAAGGCCAGCTTGGTCTACATAGTAAGTTCCAGGCCATCTGTGGCTACAGGGAGACTCTGTCTCAAAAAAAACAAAAATTAAAAATAAATCTCTTTTAAGAAATAGGTTTAGCCGGTCTCAGTGGCGCACACCTTTAATCCCAGCACTTAAGAAGCAGAAGCAGGGGATCTTTGTGAGTTCCAGGCCAACTTGGTCTACATAGTGAATTCCAGGCCAGCTGGGGCTACAGGGAGACCCTCAAAAAGACAATCAATCAATCAATCAATCAATCAATCAATCAATGGACATACAGAAATCGTTCAATGATAGAGGGTCCTTCTGGAAAGTGGGGTAAAGCAGGATGCCATACAAGAAGGAGAAATTTTTTATTTTCTTTTAACTTTGTGTGTGTGTCTGTGTGTATGCATATGCACACACACAGGCACTTACTTACTCATGTGCCATTGTACACATGTGGAGGTCAGAAGACAACTTTCAGGAGTTCTCTCTTTCCACCTTGTTGAGGCAGTCTATCTTACTTCTGCTGTTGTGTGTACCCCGGGCTAGCTGACCCAAAAGTTTTTAAACTACTCTCCTGCCTGCCTTCCATCTCACCGTAGGAGTTCTAGTGTTCTAGATATGTTCCACTACATCTACCTTTTTCAGTGTGTGTTCCAGAGATCACACTGAAGTCATCAAGCTTTGTGCAGCAAGTGCTTTTACCTGCTGAATTGTCTCACTGGCCCAGGGAAACTTTCTATTTTATAACCTGCATTTGTTAAAGATTTATTTTATTTTTATTTATGTGTATTGTGTGTCTGTATGTATGGGTTTTCCACATGTACACAGGTGATTGCAGAGGCCAGAAGAGTACACTGACTCTCCTGGAGCTGGAGTAATAAGTGGTTGTGAGCTGCCTGATGTGGGTGCTTGGGAATGAACTTGGGTCCTCTGGAAGACCAGCAAGAGCTCTAACCACTGCCTTCCTTCCTTTGCCTTGTTTTAGTTTTATCCAAGCATAGCCTGCTGTTCTGACTGTTTTAGTCAGGATTCTCTACGGAACAGAACTGATAAAATGAATATATACACTGAAAAAATTTATTAATAAGCTTACTTTGAAATAGTAGCAATAGCTGAACACACCTGAGAAACCAAGAACCCAGTAGTTGCTCAGTCCATAGGACTGGGTGCCTCAGAAGCCCCATTTTGATGCTGAAAACCAAAGGGTCCTGGAGAGCCACTGGCCCTTAGTCAGCAATAATGGGAAATGCTGGTTTGTCAGCAAATAAGCAAAATCTTCCTTCTGCCATGCTGCTTTTATCTGAGGTGCTGCCCACATTTGGGATGATTCGTCCCACCTTAGTGAAGGCAATTAAGACAACTCAAGTGAGGCTTCCTGCTTACATGATTCTAATTCGTAGCAAGTTACCATTAAAACTAAGCATCACATGATGCAAAAAAAGATGGAAGTACCCTAACAGAACATCTTTGAAACTCTTGGATATAATCTAGTATTTAATCTAGTATTAGACAGTATCAGGAAATGTCATTTAAGGTATGTGGTAATTTGTTTTTAGTTTTTTGTTTTATTTTTTTTCTTTAATACAGTCTTACTGTATAGCCTTGCCTGACCTGGAACTTGCTATATAGACCAGGCTGCCCTCAAACTTATCACAGCCCTCCTGTCTCTGCTTCCTAAATGCTGGGACTATCAGCATACACCAACCACTCCTGGTGGTAATTTTTAAGTATTTGTTTTACTTTTATGTTATGTGTATATATATCTGTGCCTATGTGTATAGTATATTCATGCATACAGTGTCTGTGGTGGTCAGAAGAGGGCCTCAGATCCCCTAGAACTGGAGTTAAGGGCAGTTGTTAGCCTCCATGTAAGTGCTGGGAACTGAACCTGGGTCCTCTGCAAGAGCAGCCAATGCTCTTAACTGCTGAGCTATCTCTCTAGCCCCCAGTTTTTAATTTTTATTTTTAGATCCGAGATCTGCCTCCCAAATGCTAGGACTTAAAGGTATGTACCACCACATCTGACCGCCCCTAGTTTGTTTTTTTTTTTTTTTTTTTTTTTTTTTTTTTTTAATGAGCCTTCACTGTTTCAGATACACAACAGTGTTCGGAGGTGACTTGAGACTTGAGGTTTAAGCTAGAGTTAGCTATCAGGCAGAATGGATTCCCTGTCATGGGAGTCTCTTAAGACATCTGGAAGGCATTGATCTTGGCACAAGAAAAGGGTAGATGTGAAGCAACAGATTCTCTCTGAAACTTCTGTGGCTGTCTATTCATTTTCACTCTTTGAGAACATGGCAGATGCTACTGGAAAAGGGCATTTATGGGCCACCTGTGAGTTTCCTTAACATTCTTGTACAAGGAAGAAGTAGCTCTCTGCCTCCTCCATGTCTGACTGCTATAGGCTTACCTTGTGCCCAATGCAGGGCCAACTTCGTGAGTATTAAAATGAAGATAACATTTTTACTCTTTTTTTCTTTGAGACAGGGTCTCCCTGTAGCCCCAGCTGGCCTGGAACTCACTATGTAGACCAGGCTGGCCTTGAACTCCTGCCTGCCTCTGCCTCCTGAGTGCTGGGATTAAAGGCATGCACTACCATGCCTAGCTTACTTTTAAAAAAAAAAATAAGTCTTTTGCCTGTATGTGTGTAAGTGCACTTGTGTATGCATGGCCAAGAGGACCAGAAGAGTTTGTTGGATCCCCTGAAACTGGAGTTACACATGGTTATTAGCAACCATGTGGGTGCTGGGAACCAAACCCGGGTCATCTTTAAGAGTAGCCTGTGCTCTTAACTGCTGAGACATCTCTCCAGCCCCTGAAGATGCATTTTTAGTCAGAGTTCAAGTTGTAACCCAGAAGGATGAGTGCTCAGTGAGGGAAGTTGTAGCTATGCAAGCAGCATTGGGATATAAGATTTTCTGAGCACGGAGCCTGAGGCTACTTCAAGTGTTGAATATTTGGTGTTCCTGGGCTAGGGGGGTTTTGGGTTTTCAAAAAAGATTTATTTTACTTTTAATTATATCCATGTGTCTATGTGTAGGTATGTGCATATTAGTATGAGTACCCATGGAGGCCAGAAGAAGGCATTGGATCCCCTGGAGCTGGAGTTACAGGCAGTTGTGAGCAGTTTTATATGGGTTCTAGAAATTGAACTCAAGTCCTCTGCAAGAGCAGTATGTTCTCTTAACTGCTGAGCACTCACTCCAGCTCCCATGGGTTGAGTTTTGATGGTCATCCAGACCTGCTTTTCATCTTGGCCTCTTGGTTGTAGGCAATCACCACAGAGGGCAAATACTGGAAAAGTCGCATTGAGATCGTGATCCGGGAGTATCACAAATGGAGAACCTACTTCAAGAAAAGGGTATGCATCGGTGAGGGTTCTCAAAAGAACATGTTCTGGAAAGCTCCTGGGGGCTGGGGATAAAGGCTGTGTTCAAAATGTAGCCTAAGGCCCTAGGCTTCATAGCTCCTCACCAGTCATGAATCTTGGAGAGGGAAAGCTGGACTCAACATTTTACCCCCAAGCAGTTTCCTCATCTGTAAGCAGGACTGTTTCTATGTGCCCATATCCTGGGGATGGCAGCCAGCAGGATCCCATTCTGCACCTGCTTCCCAAAGAGTGAAGGTCTGGGTCTTTCCAGAGCATTCACTCACATGTAGGGAGGTAAAATTGCCCCTCCCAGAGCTCTTGGTGACTACTTCATCTTGCTCCCTTTGCCCACAGCTACAGCAGCACAAGGATGAGGACCTCTCCAGCCTGGCCCAGGTGAGTGAGGTTGAGTGCCCTGCCTTGACAAGATGCAGCAGTGGCTTGTGTCCCTCTTTCCTCCTCTCTCAAGAGTTCTGAAGTGAAATTCCAGATATAGGGCCAAGGAAGAAGACACACTGTATTCGGGGGCTGGAGGGAATTGCCTTTGCCTTCTTGCCTCATTTTCATGAATTAGCCCTTGATGAGTACTAGGACTGAGGATTCTAAATTCCATTGCTGCCTGTTGATTCTTCTTGCCTTCTGTTGGTGGTAGGATGATGACATGCTTTTTTGGCACAAACATGGGGATGGCTGGAAGACCCCAGTCCCCATGGAGGAGGACTCACTGCTGGACACAGACATGCTCATGTCAGAATTCAGTGACACCCTCTTCTCCACACTTTCTTCACACCAACCTGTGGCGTGGCCCAACCCGCGGGAAATAGGTAACTGATTCTCTGATCTTGGACAACTGACTTTCATTAATGTGAGGCTTCCTCTAGGCCAGACTTTGCTCCAGAGCACCTCTAGGCTGCTTTGTGTCACTCATCTAGGCTAGATGGGGATGAGAAGGATTGGCCAACCAACCTCATTCATTATGTGAGGGTCATGTGTGAGGACTAGAAATGGAGCCTTACTTGGGTGGTTCTTGTTTTCTTGGTCCCACTGTGAGAAAGCAACAGGGCTCTGGTCTGAACCTATCTATTTATTGGTTATTTTTATTTTATTTAATGTGTGAGTGTATTGCCTGCATATGAGTAAGTGCACCCATGTCATGCAGTGCCCCCAGAGGATGGAAGAAGGCATTGGATCCCCTGGAACTGGAGTTATAGACAGTTGTTAGCCACCATGTAGGTGCTAGGAATCAAACCTGGGTCCTCTACAAGAGCAGTTAGTGCTCTTAACCACTGAACAATCTTTCCAGTCCCATTTATTTATTTATTTATTTATTTTTATTTTTTGTTGTTTTTTTGGTTGTTGTTTTTGTTTGTTTGTTTTGAGACAGAGTCTCCCTGTAGCCCCAGCTGTCCTGGAACTCACTATGTAGACCAGGCTGGCCTTGAACTCACAGAGATCCACCTGCCTCTGCCTCCCAAGTTCTGGGATTAAAGGTATGCGCCACCACACCCGGCTTATTTTATTACTTTTATGGTCTGAACCCATTTTATATTTCTGATACTGTCACCTTAGTGTCAGTGCCTAAGCCTAGGGTGGAGGGCAAACACTCCTGTGTGCTCTTCCACCTGCAGGCCTTCAGTCTTCTAGTTCCTCAGGGAAGAGCCTGCAGCTGAAAAATAAGAGCAGGGTGGGCTGTGGTGGTGTATGCCTTTTTTCCCTGCGCTCCTCTCTGTGAGTTCAAGGCCAGCTCCCCAGCTGCAGGGAGACCCTGTTTCAAAAAGACCAAAAAAAGAAAAAAGAAGGAAAGAAAGAAGAAGAAGAGCAGGAATGAAAGATTGTAAGAATATAGAGTAGGTAAGGGGCAGGGGCAGCTGAGCTGTTCATTGCTTCTTGGGGATGTCTTTTCACTGCCTTTCTTTCCTGCCTTCTGAGGGTAGAGAGACTGTATCTGTATCTGAGAATGGCTACAGACCCCCAAGAATATAGACATCCCAGCCAGCTACTATAGTTAGAAGACTAGAATGGGTAGGGCCAAGAAGATCTGTTCCAGGGCCTTTACATGCTCCTATAACCTTATTTGGGAAGGTGAAGTCATTTCTCTGTCTCACTTTTAATTCTTGCAGCACATCTAGAAAATGCAGACATGATCCAGCCAGGACTGATTCCTTTGCAACCCAATCTGGACTTCATGGACACCTTTGAACCTTTCCAAGGTAAGGCCAGAGGGTATCAGACTGTTTGCCCCCTTTTATAGAGGACAGTTAGGGTGGGTATAGAGGAGGACTTAAAAGTTTTCAAAATTGAAAATTTATTTTGGTAGCACCTACAAGGCCTGGAAATTTTTTCTGGGACATTGTCTGGAAGGAAATTGGCATTCCCAGAATGCTTTTTTCCTACTGGGAGCCTCAGCTTGGTCCTGACTATAAGCAGTTCCTCCTTCAGGCAGCAGAAGGCACTATGACACAGCCACTCCCCAGTAAAGTCCTACAGTTAGGTCATTCCCTTGAATACTGCTAAAACTGGTGGTTTCAATCAGATTCCTCTTTCAACAGAGAAAGTTACCTTGGGGTTGGGAGAGGGATGCCTTCTGAACCATGGCATCCCTTGGGTAGGGTGGGGTCCAGAGCCCCATTTGTTTTTATCTTAATTCTAGGAAATGGTAAGCTCATGGAGTTCTTTTCTTTTTTTAGATCTCTTCTCTTCTAGCCGATCCATTTTTGGCTCCATGATGCCCGCACCTACATCAGTACCCACCCCAGATCCCAGCAGCCCACCTGCTCAGGTAGAGGAAGCTGGGGGGAGCAGACATGCTGTCATACTTTATAGCCAGAGGCAGACTCACAATGTGACCATGAATTGACAGCGCACATGCTGAGGGCATTGCTGGACCCAGTGCTGAGTGCACAAGAATATACAAAGGAATTATGGTGCTCTCTGAAAGCGTCCTCAGCCCACAGGAGGCGGGAGACTGCCAGCAAAGTTATTTTCTTACCTCAGGCCCCATGTGACCTTTGTGCAGTCAACTCTTTTCTAACCAGTTAGATAGGATTAATTACAGAAGAAAAACGTGGATTATTAATAAAAACAAGTTCTATGTATTGTTTTTACTTTTTACTTAGCAGTCAAAAGTTGGTTACAGGTGCTAGGGCTGAAGAGCCGAGTGACACACAGTTCTCTGCCCTGAGAGAGCACTCAAGCTGGTGCTGTATCCGGTTAGTCACTGGTAACCTGGTGCCTTCTCCACCTGGCTCAGAGTTCTGTGGAGACTGAGATCTGCACAGTTGATTCTTCATAGCTTTTCCATGCAAGAAGAGCTGGCCTGACTAGGAAGTTGATACCTGGCTATCCTGGGGGAGCCCCTGAGCAGCTGTGGCCTAGGCTACTTCTGCTCTGTAACAAAAGATGGCAGGGACTGTGGGGAGACCCTTCCCACCAGACTCTAGAAACTAGATATTCCCAGGCTGCTGTCCAGCTTTGTGGAGGCCACTATTTGAGCTCTGTGTTATCATTTGTTCCTAATCGAAACAAGACCCCTGATGTCACCCATGGAACACAGATCCATTTCTCCAACTCAGCAGTGTTAGGCCTGGAAGATGGCACTTCTATCCCTTGGTCCCTCAGTTCCAATATCCGAAGTTGGGCTTTGTTTTATGTAATGCTAAACAGTGGAGGTTAACTATCTGATCCTAGGTTTTCTTCTCTCTTCCTTTCTCAGGGGTCCATCCTACCAACTGAAGCTCTACCTACTGTGAGCCTGCCCAACAGCCTCATTGCATCTTCTGCAGCCCCCTCTCTACAGCCCACAGATGGGCAATGCTGTGAACGTACTTCCCAGACTGTGGACCCCTTTATCCAGGCTACAGACTTTGGTCCCTCTGAGCCACCACTGAGTGTCCCCCAGCCCTTCCTCCCTGTCTTCACCATGACCTTACTCTCCCCCAGTCCTGCCCCAGCTGCATTACCCTTAGTTCCTTCTGCCACTACTCTGAAACCCCCAACTTCACCAGCCTTCCTACAGCCTCAGAAATTCTCTGGAGTCAGCAAATCACCCCCTGTCATCACCCACACAGCCTCTGCTACCCTTACTCATGATGCTTCTGCCACTACCTTTAGCCAGAGTCAGGGCCTTGTGATCACAGCCCACCACCCAACCCCTTCCCCTTCCCCCTGTGGTCTGGCACTCTCACCTGTCCCCCAGCCACCAGCTGTTGGCCCTCCCCAACCTCATTTAACTTTTATACACCCCAAACCTGTGTCCTTGACTGGAGTGAGACCCAAGCAGCCCCCCAAGATAGTGCCTGCTCCCAAACCTGAGCCTGTGTCCTTGGTGTTGAAGAATGCTCACCTTGCCCCAGGTGAGTTGGGGTTATAGCCAGCCAAGACTCCCTAGGGAGGAATATTTCCCTGTCCCAGAAGCTTTCTTAAAGTCATGACCCCTACCTCTCCATTTAAATGGAACAGAAGCATCATGGATAGTTCATGTGTGTAGGCAACCTTATTTTCTTTCTTTCTTTTTTTTTTTTTTTTTTTTTTTTTGTCTTTTTGAGACAGGGTCTCAGCTGTCCTGGAACTCACTGTGTAGACCAGGCTGGCTTTGAACAAAGATCTGCCTGCCTCTGCCTCCCAAGTGCTGGGATTAAAGGCATGCACCACCATGCCCAGCTATTTTCTCATTTTTATCTTTAAAAAATTAGCTGGGTGTGGTGGTACAGACCTATAAACAACAACTAGGAGACTGAGGTAGGAAGATGTTGAGTTTGAGGCCAGCCTGAGCTACGTAGCAAGTATCAGATCAATCAGGGATATATAATTGGGCTGGTGAAATAGCTCAGTAGGTAAAGGTGCTTGCTGCCAGCCTGACAGCTTGAGTTCAACCCCTGGGATCCACATAATGGAGGAGAGGACTTACTTCAGCAAGTTGCTCCACAAGTGTGCCATGGCACATGCACATCTTCACACATACACATGCGCACACAAAATGAAAAAAATTTTTTTTTGGTCTTTTTGAGACAGGGTCTTCCTGTAGCGCCAGCTGTCCTGGAACTCGTTATGTAGACCAACCAGGCTGGCCTTGAACTCACAGAGATCCGTCTGCCTCTGTCTCCTGAGTGCTGGGATTAAAGGCATGCACCACCACGCCTGGCCCAAAATACTGTGTAGACCAGGCTGGCCTTGAACTCACAAAGGTTTGCCTGCCCCTGCCTCCCAAGTGCTGGGATTAAAGGCATGCGCCACCATGCCCAGCTCAAAATGAAATATTTTTAAAGGCTAAAATATAGAAATAAAAACAAGAATTAGTCTTAAGAACACAGTTTGAGAACACATGGTCATGGGCATCTCTTTCCAAGGCTATACTATGGTTCTTTCAAGTAAAAGATACAAAAAATATTTTAGATGTCCTTGTGGCTTTATCTTCCTGTTCCCTTGGTGAAGAGCTGGATGCCTTGCCATCAGAGAGGAGCATATGATGCTCTCTATCTTCGCAGCTTGGCCTCTACAGGGTCAGTCTCTTAGCTTTACCCTTTCCTCATCCTATAGCTGCCTTCTCAGGCCAACCACAAAAAGTCATCATGACGTCAGCCCCTCTGAAGAGAGAAGGGATGCTGGCATGTACTGTGTCCAAGTCCAGTGTGGTCATTGCACCTGCTAGCATCAACAGGGTAAGGAGAGCTGCCTGAGCACGCCCCTAGGGCCCTTATTCTCACAGAGTGGCCTGTGCTTGTGCAGCCATCACCCAGTATAACTGGTCTGGTCTATGTGTGTCAGCTGTAGGTGACCACTCTCCCCCATGTCACCACAGGCTGCTGGAGTCACAGAGTTCCACAGTGGCATCTCTCCCATGTCACCACAGGCTTCTGGAGTCACAGAGTTCCTCAGCCATAGCACAAGCAATCAGCCCACCCCCATCTCCCGGCTCTTCTCTTCAAGCACGGTACAAGACTCCCTGGTAAAGGGCGAGCAGGTCCCGCTGCATGGAGGCAGTCCCCAGGTCCCTCCTACAGGGTCCAGTGAGTATTCACCTGAGTGGGGCAGGTGGGAGTTCAGGGAAGTAAGCAGCCTGTGCTGGGTTGGGGAGGCCCTACTCACAGGCTCCCAGAATTGAGCCTGGGCCTGAAGAAAGCAGCCTGCTGATAACAAAGGCTGGGGACATGTTTTTTTGTGCAGCAGGATTACTGTGCAACACTAGCAGAGCAAGAACAGGAGGTGGCAGGTGTATCATGGCATGGGCAGCTAGTGTACTCAGGAAGCCACACTTTACTCAGATGGCTTGGCTCAGAGATGAATCTCAGCCTCAATTTGCACCTCTTATTACATGTTATCAGTGGCCACACAAGCTCCATAGCAGCCTGCCAATACACCTTAGGTGTTATTTTCAGAGACTATGAAAGATTTTAAACCTTTAGTCATTCTCAAGGCAGCTCCATACTCACATGTTAGACCCACTCATCTAGTAGGCCTGCTACCTCATACCATGTAGATGAAGACTTCTACCCTGGGATTTTCCCCCCATAGACACTCTACCTCCCTATGGTTGAGCCTTAGTTTCAAGCCTCACTGCCCATAGCAAGACCTATGCAATTACTGCCACAGCAATAAGGGATGCTACCATATGCCAGATAGGGAAAGGTGGCCATATTTGGATTCCTCCCCAACCCCAGATGCTCTACTCTTATGCTGTTCAGCCTCAGTTACATGATAGCCAGGACCATGCAGTCACTCCTTCCAAACTCATCTTTGGTTCTGTTGTTTTCTGTTCAGGTGCCAGTTATGTTATGTGACACTATTCCTGGGGAGATATTAACAAACATCTATTCATCTCACATAGGGAACTGACTACACAGATCAAAGTCAGAATACCACAAAAGTCCAACTTGGTGAACCAATGAGTTTTATTGGTTACTTACAAGAAAAGGATAAGGGGCTACTTACAGGAGCAGAAATCGCTCAAAGACAGCTGCATCACCAAAGCCCACCCCAGCATGGGTGACAGGTCACAAAAGCAGGAAACCTGAAATATACTGTACAACCTGTAGGCAGCTCCACAGATTGGAGAGTGTTTTCCAGGTAGCTTGTTGGTCTGAGCCTCTTCCCATCACAGCTCATCTGGTCTTAGTGTCCCTTTCAGCAGTCTTTAGGGCTTATATATGTTTGGAGAAGGAGGGGGAGGCCTAGTAAATCTGGGTAGTTTCAGGGATTTCATAAAGTTATTGAGTTGTTTACCTTCTGAACTTAGGGAGCTTTCCTTCCCTTTAGGATGGAATGTTTCACCTCTCTTTTTCCTGAGTCTTAACCAGTTTCCCTCCAAGATGGAATATCTTATCTTGGAGAAAATTGCTACACAACACAGTTCCAGCCAGAAAAAAAAGCTGAAGAGTTCTTGTTAAGCAGTCTGGAAAACTTGAGCCTGGGGTTGCTGTAGCCACAGAGCCAGCAGACTTGTCACAGCATCAGCACTATTTCCAAAGCACTGCAGACCTGGCTATTTCCATAGCTTACAACTGAGCAGGACAATACTAATTTTGCCCAGTGACATCTGTGGAGCCAGTGGGTCAGGGGCCAGGATCCTTATGCCATCAGTATCAAGCTGCAGGTAGAATTTGGACTCCTTCCAGTGCCATACTGAGGGGGAAATGGAAACAGTACACACATCTCGGGCAAGCACTCTGCCCCTGTCATGTACCCTCATCCCTTTTCTTACCTAAAATCACAGAATGGCTGCTCCTGAACTAATAATACCTGGGAAGACATGATTAAGGAGGGGTCTCCAGTTGAGAGGGATAATATTTGTCTAAGAGGTTTGAAGAATGGGACTCTTGCCAGGTGTGGTAGCACCCACCTTTAATCCGTGCTCTTAGAGAGCAGAGGCAGGTGAATTTCTGTGAGTCTAATGCCAACCTGATCTACATAGCGAGTTCCAGGTTCAGGGCTATATAGTAAGAGGGGAGTGGGGGGATGTGACTATTCAGTCTGAAAAAAGACTCAGGATCAGTCATGAGTCAAGTTCCCAAGATAATTCAGGGAAACAAACATAACCTAGCCTGTTATAAAACATGAAATTTAGAGCTGTGTACTAAAGCCTAACAATGTTTTGGGAAAAAATAATCTAGGAGAAAATAAATGAACTGATGCCATTTTTGTTAGAATAAGGTGGGACAAGCTAGAAAAGTTCTAAAGGGATCTAGGAAATGGTTCCCCAAAGAGACATCAGCAAGTAGAACGGGCTAGTGCAGTTTACAACAGTCTGTTCTATGTGGATCAAAAGGCGGTAGCACTTTCTACACATTTTCAGAGTGGATGAGATAAAAGAGAAAGTACGTGTTAGCATTTAAAGAACAAAATGAAACAGATACCAGTGTGCTATAAGCACATGGGTGAGTAAGAACTAGTGCCTTACAAACCCTGGCTGCCTTGAGGTGGCATTTTAAGGGACTAGGGTGGAGGTCCAACCTCCTCTTCAATCAGTTGTTGCCATTTGCTGAGGCCTGGGATGGGGTAGAGTTTAGGCCATATTGTACATCTACTTTGCCTGCCTTGGGCCTTGCCTCATAAACAGAGAACTCTGGGGGCTGGAGAGATGGCTCAGCAGTTAAGAACACTGGTTGTTCTTGCAGAAGACCTGGGTTTGAATCCCACATGGTGGTTAACAACTGTCCGTAACTCCAGTTCCAGGGGATCGGATGGCCTCTTCTGTCCTCCTCGGGCATTGCATGGCATGGGTACACTGACCTACGTGCAGGCTATACACACATACACATAAAATAAAAATAATAAATAAAATTTTTAAGAAACCAGAACTCCGCTTTGGGACCTGGGGCAGTGTTTTGTCTGGCATAGCTGTGGAAAGTTAAAAATGGATTTCCAAGCATAAAGGCTTGCTGGGAGCCCCTTTGGTTGGTGAGAACTGCTTTGGGACCATGACAGGGCAACCTTACTTCTTTCCTAGTCCCTTCCTTGGATTTTGCCCTGTTAAGAGTATTTTCTTTACAGGTCATGACTGCCCTAACTCAGGGCAAGCCTCTCCATGCCCATCAGAACAAAGCCCCAGTCCTCAGTCTCCCCAGAACAACTGCTCAGGGAAATGTACAGACCCAAAAAATGTGGCTGCATTAAAGGTATGACTTACCTCTCTTAGACCTTGATTCCCTTGGTGTGATGGGGTGGGAAAGACTGAAGATCAAGAAGCCTCTGGGACAGCTGTATCCTTCAGAAAGGAAAGCCATAGACCCAGCTGCTGTTGCAGCCCCGGAAATATTGAGATTAAATTGATTGCAACCATTTCCAATTCCACCAATAAACCTATGAGAGCTCTGGGTGGGCCCTCTGAGTCCAAGGGCCAATTCTGAGCCCTCATGATGTGTTAGAGGTACATGCAACCTCAGTCACACTAGTTGCGGGGAGGAGGTGGGACCAAAAGCCCTGGGTTGGAGAGGAGGGATGAGACTGGCTGCTAAGAGCCACAGCACATAGTGCTCCCTAGTCAGTGTACCTCATCCACTCCCTCCTGGAGCCTCTTGGAGGCTTTTAGCCTTTTGCCTCCCCTCCTGCATAGCTCTCTAGCCCTGGCTTTTTTTTTTGATATTTTATTATTTTTATTTTATGTGTATTGCCTCACCCATGTCGTGCATTGTCCGTGGAGGTCAGAGGAGGGTGTTGGATCCCCTGGAACTAGAGTTAAGCATGGTTGCTAACTACCATGTGGGTGCTGGGAATCAAACCAGCAGCCAGTATTCTTAACCACTGAGCCATCTCTCCAGCCCCCTTTTTTTGTTTGTGGGGTTTTTGTTTTGTTTTGGGGTTTTTTTTTTTTTTGTCTTTTTGAGACAGAGTCTCCCTGTAGCCCCAGCTGTCCTGGAAGTCACTATGTAGACCAGGCTAGCCTTGAACTCACAGAGATCCACCTGCCTCTGCCTCCCAAGTGCTGGGATTAAAGGCGTGAGCCACCATGTGAGACAGGGTCTCCCTGTAGCTCCAGCTGCCTGGAACTCACTCTATAGACGAGGCTGACCTCGAACTCAGAGGATCCGCCTCGTCTCTGTCTCCCGAAGGCTGGGATCAAAGGCATGCACCACCATGCCCAGCAGCCCTGGCTTTTCATAGACCCAAGGCACTAGTCTTCCTTTAGATGTTGGACTGGTAGTAAGGAGGGACAAGTTAATCACAAGGTTTGGCCTACATCACAGTGACTAGTTGATTCCCGAACAGAACCGGCAGAAGCACATCTCAGCTGAACAAAAAAGGCGCTTCAACATCAGGATGGGCTTTAACACCCTGAATAGTTTGATCTCCAATAATTCCAAGCAGGTAAGTTGGCTGAGAGTGTCAAGGTGGGGTAATAGCATATTTTTCCTGTGTGCTACTGGCCTGGTGGTACCTGAGTCACCTGCCCTCTGCAGACTAGCCATGCCATCACACTGCAGAAGACAATGGAGTACATCACCAAGCTGCAACAGGAGCGGATCCAGATGCAGGAGGAGGCCCGGAGGCTGAGGGAGGAGATTGAGGAACTCAACGCTACCATCATGTGAGGTTCTGGCCAGGTGCTCAGCCTTCCACATTCCCATGTCACAGAGGCAGGAGGACCCTTTGGGGCCTTTGCTGCTTCTGTTGCAGCAGTTTAGCATCTTGTCCTCACATAGGACTCTGTGTCTGGCTGTGACCCAGCAGTAGACCTGCTCTACCCATCAGGTTCCCCAGGGTCCTCCTTCCCCATCAGTTCCCTAAAGTATCCCCTGACTCCTGTTGTTTCAGCTCCTGCCAACAGCTGCTCCCTGCCACAGGAGTGCCTGTCAACTGCCGCCAGTTTGATCACATGAAAGACATGTTTGATGAATATGTGAAAAGCCGGATCCTACAGAATTGGAAATTCTGGATTGTATCTTTGGGTTTTCCTTGCTCTTTCTTCCCCAACTGAAACAGTAGACAGTACTCTTGGGCAGATCCAAAGAAAGATACTTTCCCATTCTTATCTCTGGTTTAAGACCGACAATGCTACTTTCTGTCTCGGGACAGAGGGCTCTGGACTGGCCCCAGGGGTTGGAGTGACTACAGGAAGGGCCAGGGAGGCTGATGGCTATCTGCTCTCCAGGTCCTTGGGAACCAAAGGCAGTGGTAGAGCCACCTGCAGAGGTGGTGAGGTAAGAAGGAGAGGACTTGTGACAGTCTGGCAGCCACCTTAGTCTCCACAGTGACAGAGAGTGTGAGCCCTACCGCTATGACAGGTAGAAACCAGGGCTTACTGAACTACTAAATGGTAAAGCCCCCATTTGGTGGTTTGAGGTTTTTGTGTTTTGGTTGTTGTTTTTGCGGTTTGTTTTTCTTGAGACAGGGTCTATGATGCCTAGGATGGTCTTGAATACTTGAGCTCCAGTGATCCTTCTGCCTAAGCCTCCTGAGTAGCTAGAGTCATAGTTTAAAACCAGTTACCTCAAACTTTTGTGTCTCCTTGTCTTGAGTATCATAATGAAACATGTCCACCCAGGTGCCGGGACCTGTCTTCAGGCCAAGGCTGCCCTGCTCTCCGCCTTGCAGACAGCAGCATGGCTTTTAGGGAATGTTCTGTCTAGCCACTCCCTAAAAACTCCTGCTGTGAGTAGACAGTTTGTGGGGCAGTCAGCCACAGCATGGGATCAGGGTCCATGAGTGGAAAGAGACAGGTATATAGAAAAAGAGGAACATGGCAAAGGAGCATGTGTGCCCCAGAGGACAGGTCTGTTTATATTTGTTTGCTTCTTTGATTTCTTTGAGATTGTCTCAATGTAGTCCAGCCTGGTCTGGAACTTGCTGTGTAGTATCGGCTACTATGCTGCCTCTGTTTCTCAGGTGCTCCGATTACAAGCTTACACTACTGTGCCTGCCTATCCATCTGTATTTTTTTCTAGTATCAAGGCTTCACACATATTGTCTGTTCAAGCACTCTGCCAATGAGCTGTATCTGACTCAGCTTAAGAGATGGCAGACATCACTCCTTTCCTTGCTTTCTTATCCTCTGGTCCTAATGCTGTCTCCTGCCATTAGTGGAGCCTGGTGGCATCTGGAATGGGTCAGGACTACTTCAGTAAAATGGCACATTCTTCATTACCTGGCCCAGATAGGTACTGTAGGCATCAGGATTCAAGAGAAACGTTCATGATGTCTCTACTGGGCCCCCCCTAAGATCCCTTGGGAGCTACGCAAGAAGAGGAGCTGACAGGGCTGTGTGCACACAAAAGTTGGGCTCCAACTTCAGACAGTACTTTTGCCTTTGAGTGTTGTGTGCCTCCCGTTCTTGCCAGCCTTCATGCTTCTTCTCTTACCACACAATTGTCTCCTCTGACCTATGGTTTTTTGTTCACATCATTGTGCTCACCCTATACCAAGCTAAAGAAACTTGTGTACCTGTGTCCTGCCTACTCAAAGGTCAGTCATAGTAAGAGAGCAAACCATTTAGTCTCATGAAAGGCATGCCTTTCCAAGCAATGACCAATCTTTTCCTCCCTCTTTCTGCTCAATTCTCTGTGGGCAATTACTTACGTTCATGAGGGAAGTTAACAGGCAAGTCAAGCTTGACAGCCTTTCCTTTCTTCATCTGCATGCTCCTTAGCCCTCTGCTGTGCTCACCTTTTCCTTAACCTCAGTTCTTCAGTTCAGCATGATCATCAAACCACTGTTTGAGTCCTTCAAGGGGATGGTGTCCACCAGCAGCTTGGAGGAATTTCACCGCACGGCGCTGTCCTGGCTAGACCAGCACTGCTCTCTGCCCATCCTCAGGCCAAGTGAGTGTGGGATAACAGAATCGGGGTCTTCGTGCTGGTCTGGGAGAAAAAAGCTGGACAGTGCTTAGCAAAGTCCAGACTCTACTACACAAAGCCAGACTGGCATTTCCAGAGGCATGAGGACAACACTATGAAAACACTATTTTCCTATAATCAGAAAAGCCACTGAGGGGCCAGCATGAGCTCCTCCCATCAGCGTGTCTGCCAGTCTGATCAAATCCAGCTTAAACTTAATGAACATTTACTATTTTCCAGGCTCCATTTTAGGTGAATTTGGTATTTTCTTGTTTAATTCCTATAATAATGAATAAATGTTATAGAAGTTCAATATTAAAGCAAGTGGAATATACTGGCAACAGGAATAGACTAGAATCCTTGGGCAATTTGCAGCTCCTGCTTGGAACTGCAGTCACAAAAGCAAGGTGTGAGACTGGATCTCAGCATGGGACCCCCATTGCTCTTCCCTGCAGATGAGCTCTAAGCATCATCCTTGATGCTCGGGAATCGCCATGTAGGGTGATTCTATACATCCTGGGTCTGTGTCCCAGACTGACTACTGCCTCCTGTGTCTTGCAGTGGTACTGAGTACCCTCCGGCAGCTGAGTACCACCACCTCCATCTTGACAGACCCATCCCAGCTGCCAGGGCAGGCATCAGAGGCTGTTACCAGGATTGGCAAGAGATCAGGGGAGTCCTAAGCTTAGCTGGCATGTGGATGATGCATGAAATGCCTGAAGATCCCTCCCTGCCTTTCCTGACGCACTGCCTTGGGGCTACACTCCATGCCACTGGCCCACTGCGCCTGTCAGGATGTCACGCTCAGGTCTGAAGCAGGTTTGGGGCCTGCCTGCAGCAATAGCCCATCTTGGGAACCCTTGCTGTGACCTCTCACCCAGTGACCTCAATCACAAGTCTCCCCTGCACTTGGGGTGGCCCAGAAAAAGGGAATCATCATTTCTTCTAGTCCTGTCCTACTCGAGGCCTGTCGGGGCCCTGGGCCAGTGGAACAGATGGGATAAGGAGACAAAGCCTGCTTTTACAGGTAGAATCATCCAGGGTCCCTCTGAGTTCTGTCTTGAGACTTAGAGACTTGTCTCCTGTCATATTCTTATCTACTTTTGTTGCTCTGGTAACCCCTGCACGACGATCTCTGGCCTCTGTAGTGGCAGGTGAAGCCTCTCTGTCTTTTGTGACTCTGACAGCACCTGACCTGGATGGATCTGGGCTACTGTTCTGACCTCCGCATAAAGCAAGACTGCCTTCCTCCCCAGTGTATTGGGGAGAGGGGGTTATGCCTTCAGAGACCCCTGAGCACACATGGAAAATGGTGTGGAGGCCAACTGGTCAGCACAGAAGCATGAGCAATGCAAAACTGCTGTTCTGGCTCAGAGACTCTCCAGGCAGTGTCTTGTCTATCATGTCTTAGTTCTACCTGGCATTGAGATTGCTGTTGCTGCCAGGGACTTGCCTAGGGCCTCCTCTGCCCGGGGCTATCTCAGCCTTGCCTCACAGCTGAGGCCCTTCTGTGCCTGTTCTCTACCTGCTTCCACTCGGCAGTCATGGGAGAGGCAGGTGCTCTCCAAGGTCGGTCTCGCCCTTGGCTCTAGCACTCAGAAGGCCACGCCACACTCCATGATGCTGCTGTCAGCCTGGTCTTTTTTGTTGTTTTTTTGAAGTTCAGCTGGGAGCTCCAAACCAGGACAGTTCTCAGACCAAAGATGTCACCACACTAAAAAAATCTGTCTCATCTGGCGCTAGGAGGAAGAAACAGAATGTTGACAGGCAGGACATCAAGGAATCAACCCTTGAAGCTGTTTCCAGGTCTCCAAGGTTAGATGGTAAAGGACTACACTCAGATTTGGACCAGTGGAGCTGGAGGGTAGGTGTCTGAAGGTTCAAGTGTCCCAGTGTATGTGACAGTTGGAAGGGACAGAGGAGGCAGCGGAGCACTGCCTGCTTGATCCTCGCCCTTTTCTTGGCAGCCTCTGTGAGGAGCTGCAGGTGGTAAGGCACTCTTCTCCAGCTCTCCCAGGAAGAATGCGCTTCTCTTTCTTGCTGTGACATCTAGAGCATGCAGTGGGCTTTTTCTTGGACTTTGTCCTCCTGGCCTCTCCTCACTGTGCTGCCTGTCCTGAGGGGACCATGTGAAAAGGAGAGCTCAGACAGCCTCCTGAAGTTCCATCCATTTGGAATCTCCTGTTGGTGCCTGAGGCCCGCCCTGGACTAAGTTGTTGGAGAACAGAGAAAGGGTAGGGGCAGCTGGCCACACCACTGCCTGCTGTGGGCCCCTGACCAGCTGCTTGCTCCCTTGAGTATTTCTGTTCTGTATGGGAATAGCTTGGTGGCCCCTCAGCCATCCTCAAAAACATGTTTACAGGTTGAAGGATGAGCACAAGGCACTAGGCTGGCCCTTGGAATTTCTACTGGGAACCACTGAAATTGGCCTTCAGAAGGTGAAGGCCACTGTGGTAAAAAGGAAAAAGGAAAAACTAGAATGCTGCTGAGGGCCTTGGGGAGCCCAGCCCAGCCCCTCCTACTCCTGTGCCTTGTGACACACAGGCCATATCATGGCCGGCCAGCCAGGACTCCTGGTTTTCTCTCCACCCTTGCTGGGGACTTCTTTTTAAAACTATGGAATATAAAATTGGCCTCTTGTTTCTCTGGCTACCTCTCTCTCGTGCTGAATTAGTTTCTTCATTCTGTTTCCTCAGATATTTAAGGCTATTAGGTTGTGTGAGACTAGAAGAGGGTGTGTGAGTACATGAGCATGTGCATGAGCTCTGTGTGTGTGTGTGTGTGTGTGTGTGTGTGTGTGTGTGTGTCCTGGTAGACTTTATTAGGTACGTGATTTGGTTTTGAAATAGACTCCTGTTCCTTTCTCTGGTGCTCACCATCACCGTGGCTGTGAGGCCACAATGCTTTAAAACCTCCAAGCATGATCGCTTCTCGCCCTGGAGATGCTCTTGTTTAGAATCTTGCCTGATAAATCTGGCCAGATAGAGGAGCCTGACCTTGACTTCTACCCTGGGCTCTGAGGTCAGTGTTTAAGAACAGCCAAACTGAGCCTCTCTGCCAGGGGTCTCCACTGAGTGATGACCACCACGTGACTGGGGTTTGTTTACATTCATTTTCACTCCTATTCTTGTCTCCACTCCCATACAAGAAACTTCAAAGTGTTGGCACTTTGGGGAACAAGAATATCATCCTAAAAGGATAAACCATAAGGCCACCTGGTAAAGCTCGGTGTTTCTGTGAAATCTTTGAGAACCATCAGTGTGTGTCTGCACGTTCTTTCATTATGAGTGGTGCCACAGGGGCAGGGAGCTCTGTCTGAGGGGACGCCTCAGAGACGATGGCTTGTTACACGCCAGCTGTCACCCTCAGGAGAGGCCAAGCCTGCTCTAGCGTTTTTTTACAGCAGGAGGGAAGGGGTTAGCTTTGAGACTCTGTGTTGGCAACACACTGGGTCTTGTGGAAGAGGCTGCAAGTGGTTGACCAGCACCATGCACTTGTGACCCAACCTAATCCTGTCTGTGTGCTCAAGACCTGACCCACTCTCTACCCCCTTTAGAGCCTTGTTCTGAAGGGCTCTGTGCTCTAGCTGAGAGTGCTGTCCGCTTTGATTCTTCAAAGACATTGTACCCAAACCCCAGATGGTCCCTGGGCTCCTAATCCTTTCTCACTAGAGTCCAGTAGAAGGTAGCCCCAGGCCTACCCATGGCCAACAGCCTCCCCAGGGTGGGTGGACTACTGTAGGCTGTAGTTGCCTGCTGGACCAGCTGCCCTCAGCTCAGGGCTCTTGTCACCCCTCCCCACTGTCAGAAATCCCTTTCTGTTCATCCTAACATGGCCCTGTAAGGGTCTCTGTTCTCTGAGGCCTCCCAACAGCCTGGGTGTATCGGGGCCTCTACCTTTTCTCTCTCAGAGCAGTGGCCTTTCCCTAGATACCTACCCTTCTTCCAAGGGAGTTCTGCCTATCAGATGAAACCCACCACTGTGTGTGAAACTTATTTTGTCAGTGTCTCGTTGTCCTATTGAGGGGTTTGTGGGCAGTGATAATGAATAGCCACCTAGAATGCCAGCGCTAAGAGAATGTGAATTTGGACTTAGTCTCTTTGATGCCACAACATCAGTAGACTCTCCATATCTGCACATGTCTAAAAGGAGAGGGGGCAGTGAGGTTGGGATGGCAGATGCCCATGGCATATTTGAGGCTTGTCCCTTCAGTAGGCACCTTAACCAGGATCTGCTTGGCAGGTTTTTGGTGGTTTTATTTTCAGACAGGGTCTTACGGTGTAGCCCTGGCTGGCCTGGAACTTGTTATATAGACCAGGCTGGCCTCAAACTTACAGAAATCCCTCCCAAGTACAGGGATTAAAGACCTGCACCACTGTGCCCAGCCTACTTGGCAGGTTTTGTGATATTGGGGCCTGTGGGCAGTGATGGGAGACCAGGAATGTAGGAGGAACCTTAAAAAGGAACCGCACCCCAGTGCCTCCTCAAACTACAGAAAAAGTGGCCAGTCACCAGCTCTTTTGGAGGACTGGACCTTTCCCTGCTCACTATATAGGAGTGTCTGCTTGTATGCTTGTCAGAGCATGAAGACTCAACCTTCGGGAAAGAAAAGGGAACTTTCCACAGTGAGAGAGAGAGAGAGAGAGAGAGAGAGAGAGAGAGAGGGAGGGAGGG